GCTAACTCGGGTACGTCTGGCTCATGGTCAGCTGGCATTGTAGGGTACCCGATAAAAAGCCCTTCGCGAGGCAATTATGCGTATTTAAGATTTAGCGTCAGATTAAACAGATGTACCACACTGTACGTCCGGGTGTGGTTCACTAGGACAGAAAGCGACTTTTTCGCGTTTCGCAGCGCGAAACATTCGCGAAACATTTCGCTGCAGGAACCTCAGGTCCACCGCTGATCATGAGTGGACCTGGAGTTCCTGCAGCGAAAAATGTTTCGCGCGCGAAACGCGAAAAAGTTGCTTTCTGTCTTAGTGAACGTCCTACATCGCGCATTATACGTTGCGACTTGTCCGCTGATTCTGCCTTCTTCGACTTGCCTCCTTTTGGGTACCCTGCATTGTAAAGCTTCTTCTAGATATCACAATGGGGAAATCGAATAACCTCCCCAAATTCTCTCACATATCGGTCTTCGAGGCACCTTTCCATCCCTGTAAGGTGGTACCATACCACAAGCTCTCCACGAGGCAAAGCTGCGTGGGTTAGCTCTCACATTATGTATTCAAGCTAATGATACATATTGTCTAGAGGTGTGTAAGTCTCAAGGAATGTGCTAAACAACAGAACGTAAATCAAATTTCGTGAGGATTTCCGCACGTGTTTTGGGTATTTTGTGAGCTTGTGCGTGAGTTTTCGGTGCTTTTCATGTTTTGGTAAATTTATATTATATTACATTGAGGCGCTAGGAACGTGCAGTACTGGCTAGTTTTCACTGAACTCAGTTTGTTTTATATATTTTTACATTGTTAAGCATGTTTATACTCATTTGATTGCCTTCGAATGCTATTGTCTTCTTCCTCATGATGTGCATGCTCTTTATTCTTTTTTCGCCATGTAACATAATGTTTCAATGAAGTACTTCATAAGCTGTTATTGCCTCCCATTCGGTTGGTTGCATCTACGTGGAATGCTCATGGAACGTCAGCAACAATTCCAGATGAGGCCGTGTTGAAGAACTTATTCTGAGGATATAATAGGGATAGAATAGCCCGCGTCACCCTTATTGCGGCTTGAACTACGCGACAATATAACGGTAGTGCCGGAGCTAGTGACCGCTAACGCGAGCTAATGAACGTGATACCTCACGCTTACCTCATGACAAGCAAAGTGGATGCGACGCACAACGGCTAATTCAAATCTGCGCCGGATAGTGGAGCAGTGGAGCGAGCAAGTTCAGAAAGGTTATCCGGAACACGGAACACCCTTCAAGCATTTCAAAGGAGAAATCTTTGTTTGAAGGCCTAATCGACCGTTTGCCCTTCCTTTTTCATTTTCAGTCTAATCGTCATCCTCGATTTCGATTCGTCCGGTTTGTTACTGATAAGAAGTTCATCTAGCTATGAGGAACCATTTGTGTAATGTAGTAAGGTGCGCCCTTGCTGGATTTTGGCAGTGATGGTGCGGGCAACTCTGCACCCGTCAATCCAACATGTTGAAGGCATGTATACGCTTGCAGTTCCTCTGCAAGGTGTTCTAAGCACAGCGTCACTCGTGCTCCGATTCCTACTAACACCGAACGAGTAGACAGATGTGTAAAATCGCTGACGAGGTATCTAGAGTGCTACTATCAATTGGTCGCATCATTTTAACCCATAACGGACGGCCAGTGTATTTTTCGCGTGCGCCACCATGTGGCGCACGCCGCCACCCAGGGTAGGGTTTATGTAGGCTTATGTGAACAGCAGGGGTAAGACGGGGCTAAAGTAGGTGTCGGAGTCTCATCATCCAAAAGAAGAGATTTCCGTTGACGACAAGTTCGTAAGCCCGCCTTTCCGCTCTAAAACTAGGGTGCAAAGAATGAATGGAAGCTGTAGGTGACATTATCGAAAAATGCGAAACAACAACCCCGAGCAAGGATGTGGCTATATTTAGGGGAAGGGGTCTCGGGACGTGCGAACCATGGGTAAGCCACCCATCAAATAGTAAACTTATGTAAATTAAGACAAAATGTATGTAAAATTTATTGTAGGTTTGTCAAAAATCCAGCCGTCCAGGTCCTGGGAAGATATGTTATTTCGCATTGCTAAGAGTATATGGGTCTACTAAGATTGCTGGAAACAT